TAGAATATGATACCAGTTATTTGGAATTCTAATTTATATTCTTCCCTCAACACTAGATGGGTGAAAGAATAGTGGAAGACTTTCAAATATTGAAAGAAACGAGTTAGACAAAGTATAAAATATTGTTAGATGGTGGTAAGGTAAAAATAGAATTTAACTTGAGTAATATCACAGAGAAGCAGTGCTCAGTGTGGTTGCTCATCACCTAAACAAACTTCCAAAGATAACTCAGCAGAACGTCTATCCAGCTTGTGTATCTGAAAGGTTAGATTTTCTATCTTATAATTTAATTGAGTAAACATGACCATTCTCTTGTCATGTACATTTTTTTTGACATTTGACAAAATGAGAGTCACTTATTTTTACTGCACATGATATGAGGAGAGACTGATGTGTTCCTGTAAGAGGGTCACCAGAAAGGAAGACCTGGGACAGGGAAGGATGGAGGAAATGGGGGGAAAGGGAAGATGAACTTGAAGAAATGGGGTGCGATGGAGTGAATAACATCCCCCAAAGATGTCCATGTACTCATGCCTGGAACCTGTGAATGTGTTACTTAATGAAAGGATTTTGTAAATATGATTAAGGATCTTGAAGTGTGGAAATTTGCTAGATTATCCAGGTGGTCTCAACGTAGTCACAAGGGTCTTTACAAAAGGGAAGCAGAAGAATCAGAAGGAAAAATATAAGGAACTAAGCAAGGGTCATAGAGGAGAGAAGATGCTATACTCCTGGCTTTGAAGATGGAGGAAGAGGTCATAGTCAAAGAATTCTGGCGCATGCATTCCTAGAAGTTTGAAAAGGCAAAGTAAGGGTGTCTCCCTCCCTAGAGTCTCCCACAGGAACACAGACACTTAATTTTAGCCCAGTGAAACTGATTTTGGACTTCTGACTTCAAAACCATAAGATGAAATATGTTGCCTTAAGCCACTTAGTTTTGTGGTGATTTGTTAGATGAGCAATAGGAAGCTAATACATGATCAAGAAAGGAGGACATGAAGGGAAGGGAAGGTAGAGGAAAAAAGGAGGAAAAGAGAAGGAAGGAAGAAAAGCAGAGAGAGATTAAGAAATTGTGAGAGGCAGCAGACTTGGAAAACCAATCAGGGTAAATATACAACGGAAAGAGCAAGGGGTTTTGTAGTCACTAGAATTTCTCTCGGGAGAATATTGTACGTGTCAGGTTATATCTCAGAGACTATGTTGGTGCAACAGCAGATGGCCCCTAATCTTTATCTTTTTAGTCTTGGAAAGAAGGAAATGGAGAGGCATTTACATACACACTGAATAAATATTCACAATAAATTAGTTGTTAGCCTTTGCAATAGAAAATATTCTTAATTTTATAGAAGAGAAATCTTGAGTCTCAGAAAGTATGAATGAACAGTGGAGTCAGTATTCCAAGCCAGATTGATCTTCCTCTAGAATAAGGAATTAAAGTAACTGAAAAAGAGAAAAGTAGGAAGGACAAGGATATCCAGAGCAGGAAGAGTGTGGGGCATAGGGGATCAGGGTGGGAAGAGGGAGAGAAAATGGCTTAGAGTTACTGATGTGCTTGCCAGAATTTTGAGGAAACAGTTAAGCAGCAAACAAATATCAAGATTTTGGGGCCTCTATGTGTACATTAATTTGTGGCAAGTTCTCTGGCCAGCACTAATACTACTCCATGGTTAATATCTTTCCAATACAGACTCTTCCAGTACCATTGCTTTCCATGGCATTGCTTTATTCTTCATTCACTTCTCTTTATAAACATGTTTATCAGGCACAAATAAGTCAATTCTACTTCATAACTGAAATAAGCTGAATTCTATTATTGATTTTAGCTGCTTTCTGGAGTCTTGGCTCTGTCTCTGTGATATGTACTTATTGAGAGAATTACCTTCTACCAAACCTCCTTTTCATTTTTTTCTTGTCTCTGTTCATTCCGTTTCAATAAATGTATATTGAACTGCTACCATGTGCCATGTAGTGGGCAAGGTGGTAGAACTTAAACTAATCGGAATAATAGGTAGTTATGCAAGCTCCCCTGACCCCTGTACCAAAATGTGAAGAGCTGATTTGTGTTCACAGAATAACTTTGACATGCCCAAGATGGAAGAGGGTCACAGCAAGGAGCATTCAACTGAATGTGGAGAGTCAGGAAAGCTTCTGGCATGGGCTGGATTTTGCTATGGAGACTTGGTTAAGTTGGAGCTATGTTTTACCAAACACCTTTCCCTATAGAGTCCTAGGGTAGAGTTGGATAAATGAGAAACATGCAAAATATTTTGGAAACAGAAGTAAATCTGTGGCCATTGCCTTGGAAGGTATTTGAAATCAGTCATGATGATGGTTGAATGCAGACATGACTGGGTGGACCCAACCTGTTCTTGCTCTTCTCTGGTTTGCATCCAGCTCAGCTTTCTGAATGCTGGTTGTCCAGATGAACAGAAATTCAGGCCCACTACCACATGCTTGGCAGCAGACCAGAAGATATGGTAGCTACAGACCTAATTGGGATAATACCTCTCAGGGTAAATTTTGGAGTTCATTGGACACCATAGTAGCCAAACAATGATCCAAATAGTTATTTCAGTTTTAAAGACTAACATTTGGTCTCCATGAAGCAGTTTTAGTCTCAATGTTTAGATCTTGGGGTACATTAGATACAAGACAGAAAAATTAAAATGCCATAGTAAAAGAAAGAATCCACTGTAATGGGAGAGTCTTCTACGCAAAACTTAATCTAAAAGTCATTTTTCCTTTAGCTAAAAGCCAAATCTATTTTAGTATAGTCACAACAACTATTCATAGGCTTTTCTGGAAATTGTAGGTAGAAGACATTGGTGGAGCTTCCTGACATTCAAGAATTGGACTTTATGATTATCCAAAAATTGCACAGATATGGGTAATAAATAGCAATTGGGAGATATGGTAATAACTAGAAACACAATTGGAAGTCTGAAATTGAAAAAGGCAGCCTCTGCATTTTATGACTATGAATACTTAATATTTAGTGCTTACCCTGTAAGCACAATAGAACAACAGATACTATTCTATGCGTTTTAAATGTATCAATTCGTTTAATTACCATGGACTCTTAACAGGTAAGTGAAATTTTTATGTTTATGCTACAGATGAAGAAACTAAGATCTAGAGAGTTAAATCATCTGCCTCAACTCAGTGAGCTAGAAAACAGCAGAGATAAGATCCAAACCCAAGTCACCTGGCCCTAATCTGAGTGACACTATGCATGATATCACACTTTATGAAACAGAATACTCAACAGTTATGAACAAAGATGCTGAAACCCTTCACAGTTGATATGTCAAGACTGATACATGGAAATTGTCAGTCTCATATAGAATATCTTGAAATGTGGAACATTATGTGCTATAGTTTGGATATGAGTGCCCCTGAAAATCTCATGTTGGAGTTTGATCCCCAGTGCTGGAGGTGAAGCTTAATGGGAGGTGTTTGGGTCATGGGGGCAAATCCTTCATGAATGACTTGATTCCATCTTTGAGGTAGTGAGTGAGTTCTCATTCTATTTGTTCCCACAAGAGCTGTTGTTAAAATGAGCCTGGCACCTCCTTCCTCTTTCTCTTGCTTCCTCTCTCACCATGTGATCTGTGCACATCAGCTGCTGTTCACCTTCCAGCATGAGTGGAAGCAGACTGAAGCCCTCAACAGAAGCAGATGTTAGTCCTATGCTTCTTGTAAAGCCTGAAGAAGCATGAGCCAATAAACTTCTTTTCTTTATGAATTACCCAGCCTCAAGTATTCTTTTATAGCAACACAAATAGACTAAGACATTATGTGACAAAGAATGTGGCAACAGAAATTAAAGAGTGATCCAGATTAGGGCTAAAATGATAAGGGGTGAGGCCAGACAAAGAGACAGAGAAAGAAGGAGAGAGAGAGAGTGAGAGAGAGAGAGAGAGAGAGGCAGAGGCAGAGGCAGAGGCAGAGATAATGAGAATAAACAAAGAAAGGATAATTAATTTGGAGGATAGACACACAACAAGGCCATATACTCCTAGCACAGGATTTCTCTGCTACTGAATAGATCCAGCTGAGGAAGGATCCTAGTTGCTGGGGACACAACTTTTGGTACCCTGCCCACATCCTCTCTTCTGGCTGGTGTACCATCCCAGCTGCTTTGAGTGTTGCCTCCTTCTCAGGAGAATTGCCTCCCACAAGACAGAGAGGCCTGTTTCTTTCCTACCTTCTTCAGGTTCAAACGCTGTCACCAATGTCTGACTGCCTAGATGGTAACAAAGGCCACTCCCTGGCCCAAAGGTGAAACCAAGACTGGAACTGTTTGTGCTCCCAGAGATTCCCACAAAAACCAGACTGCCATGACTTTCTAGCTGAGAACTTGCTTTTGATTCACTTTTTCCATTGCCTTATCCTGTTATCTTATTCCGGTATCAGAATCTAGGGAGCAAAGCCATAAAACAAACCATTTTAAATGTCACTATCATGATCACTTATATTTTTGTGCTAAACTGTCCTTTACTGCTGTTTGCTGAATTATCATCTGCTCTCTCATCAACCAAAACACAAGGTCAGCTACTACTCTTTAGATGATTTATTATACTCCAGGTACTGGGATAAACATTTAACATCTATCTCATTTAGTCTTCCTAACACTCATGTGGTGAGTATTATTATCCTAAACTGAAATATTAGAAAATTTAGATTCAGAGAAACTAAATAATCCCTCATAGTTACTTGGTCAGTACGCCTTGAGAGCCTGAATAAGAACACAGCTCACTCACCCCAAATTACTGCTCTGTTTACTCTACTACAGTGCATATGTACCCTGTAAACAGGTCTGCATTAATAGAAGTATCAAATCTTTTTGGAAAATGCAGTAATTTTATAGTTACTGGATAAATCACAGCAGCAGATGGAGTGCTATTGTTTAAAAAGTATATTTTAAGTCTGTAGTCCTTGTTTGTACTATATTCAAATACTTGTGAAGTTTTGAACTGAAAAAAATAACTTTAGGGTTCTTTCAAGAGTATTCCAATAATAACACTGTAATTGTTTGTTTGTGTTCCCTTATGTTTTCTTCAGTAGGAGACATCCCATCTACACAGTACAGCTCAAACGATCAGCTGCATTCCTGCACAGCCATCTCTTCAGTATATATAAATGAAGGAGAAGAGCAGTATGATTTTATTACCAAATTCACAAAAAGGTATGCCTGTGGCCAATCAAAGCAACTCAACTAAGCTAACACTTAAAAAAGTTCTATAGATATGTTAAAAGTCAGAAAATTCTAAAATTCATTATAATGTGCCTATTTAATTTATAAAATCCATAATAACCCTTACAATAAAATAAAGTATATTCATACTTACGCTTAAATTATGTAATATTGTTCATCTTAATATTATCTGTAGAATAGAAGTCTGGAAACATATAAGACCTTTTAAAATTAATACTATTTTAGTTTAGTCATTATATTATCTAGCCTTTTAAAATACTTACTTAGTTGGGACAGATTTTATTATTCACATGCTCACAACAAATCTTTTTTATGAGCACCTCATCAAAGAGAAAATATTTTTGTGGGACTATTTACTGTACTTCCTTTCAAAAGCTTTCACAGTTCTGTAAAATATCTGTATATGCCCAGAATGTCAGATACAGAGACATCATCCACTGTGGGTCATCGTGAAAATGGCCTAGAATCACTGGAACAGACTTAAACCAAAACTAATATAGGTCTTATGTTTGTGATGTAGCTATTCATGTCCATTTTCATTCTTAATTCAAATTTTAAGAAATTCCTTTTGTCAAAAAAAAAAAATCATTTAAGGGTCTACACACATTTGTCATCAGGGATCCATAACTTTTCCTTACTGTGGTCTTCGGCTTTTCTGACCATACTAAATTTGTTTCTTTTTTTTTTTTTTTTTTTGAGACAAAGTCTCGCTCTGTCACCCGAGCTGGAGTGCAGTGGCCGGATCTCTGCTCACTGCAAGCTCTGCCTCCCCGGTTTACGCCATTCTCCTGCCTCAGCCTCCCGAGTAGCTGGGACTACAGGCGCCCGCCACCTCGCCCCACTAGTTTTTGTTTGTTTGTTGTTTTTTTTTTTTTTTTTTTGGTAGAGACGGGGTTTCACCGTGTTAGCCAGGATGGTCTCGATCTCCTGACCTCGTGATCTGCCCATCTCGGCCTCCCAAAGTGCCGGGATTACAGGCTTGAGCCACCGCGCCCGGCCTAAATTTGTTTCTTTATTCTTGTTTTTAGTTTGGTGTTTCTAAGCTAAGATAGCTCCTATTTGTATTATCAACTAATGTGTGACATTAAGAAGATGCCCACATAAATTGGAGCAGGAAAGTGATAACTCAAGCAGGGATATAACACAATTGCTCCTGTCCTCTGCCCAAGCCAATAGAAATAGACTTACATTCTGCGATTGGAAGGGGAAACAAGGGGTTGAAAGTGACAACCTTATCATCATGTGGGACCTATCTCAGTCTGGTGTTTATGCATGGAATAACTATCGTTGTATATGTGTGCTTTATATTCAGACCAAATGAAAAACGTATTTTTTCATTTGCAATGCAATTATTTAATCCTGCATTTTATGCAATTGAATTTTTTATATCACACATAACATTACGTTGTGTTTTAGTATATCACGCAAAATGTTAAAATATTTTGTAACCATGTTTTATGTACAAACTACTCCATTTGTTTCAAACTTTAATCTGGATGCAAACACTGGGTTTCATATGTAACATGTAAAAATTAAACCAAACAATTTTCAGAAAATTGTTTTTATGTTTAGTTGATTTCACCTGAGGGTCTAAACATGATTCAAATTTGTTGTTAGTCTGTTTGTCAAAGCATGTCATTGTATATTCTGATTGCCTCCAGGACAAGCTGTGAAACGTCTAGATTCCAGAGCAACAGACTGTGATCCATTCCCAACCACCCCTCCCTACCGTCTGCCACAAGCTCCCGTAAAGCAGGAATCAGAGCTAGACTGGCTCAGCTTAGGTAAGAAGTGAGGCTTCATGTGAAAAAGACTACACCTACAAAACAAATTCTCAAATACATGATACATGCTAAGATTTTGAACTTGACCCAGAAGGTTGTGGTATACACACAAATACATACACACATGCACACGGTCATATACCTATGCTTAAAATTATTTTTAGTGCTTTCCAATTAAAAGCATAAATTACTCCATAAAAAGCTTGCATATTTTAAAGTATAATTTTATAAAAATATAAATATAGAAAAGTAGATGTATCATAAGTATGTAGATAAATGATTTTCCACAAAATATAATGGAACATTATCAATATCCTGGAAAAGTGCCTTATTCTCTCTCCTAGCCGCTACATTTTCCCTGTGGCTAACAAATATTCTAACTGCTAACACCGTGAGTTAGGATTGACTGTTTCTGAAATTTATATAAGTAGAAACATATGATATATGCTGCATTTTTGTTGCCTAACATTTTGTGAATTTTATCCATGACTTCTATATAGCAATGATTTACCTATTTTCATTACATTGCATTGAATGAACATACCCCATATTAACCTTTCTATTATTGATGGCCACATGGTTTGTTTCCACCATCGACTATTACAAATAGTGTTACCTGTATTTTAGTGAATATATGTACATATTTTTGTTGGATATATATACATCAAAGAATAGAACTCCAGAGTCATAGGCTCAGCTTTATAATATAGTGCTTAATACTTTATCAAATTGGTTGTATGAATTTACATTTCTACCAACAGTATCTGAAAGTACTATTTACCTGGTGTCTTTACTGACACTTGTTTGTCATTTATTTTTTCCGTTCTGGTGTGCATTTAGTAGTAAGCCGTTGAATATCTTATCATATGCATATTGGCCATTGAAATATCCTTTTCCTTTTCCCGTGAATAGACTATTCAACTTTTGTCTATTTTTAAATTGGATTTTTTTCTATAGAATATATTTTTAGAGTAATTTTAGGTACACAACAGTCGAGTGGAAAGTATGAATAGTTCCCCTATGTTTCGTCATCTCACATACGCACAGCCTCCCCGACCATCAACATCTTGCACCTGGCTGGTGCATTTGTTACAACTGATAACCAACACTGACATGTCATTATAAAATAAAGTCCAAAGTTTACACCAGCGTTCACTCTTACGTTCTATGGGTTTTGACAAATGTGTAGTGATATATATCGACTATTATGGTATCAGAATAGTTTCACTGCCCTAAAAATCCCCTGTGCTATACCTATTCATTCTTCCCTACCCTCTAACCCTGGAAATCATTGATCTTTTTACTGTCTCCATAATTTTGCCTTTTCCAGGATATCATATGGTTGGAATCTTTTATTTCATTTTACTTAATGGTATTTAGCCTTTTCAGATTGGCTTCTTTCACTTAGTAACATGCATTTAAGGTTGTTTTACAACTCTTTGTGGTTTGATAGCTCAGAATTTTTGATGCTGGATAATATTCTGTTGTATGAATGTGTCCCAGATTATTTATCCATTCACCCTCTAAAGTACATATTGTTTACTTCCAAGTTTTGGCAATTATGAATGAGGCTGCTATAAACATTTATGTGCAGGTTTGTGTATGGATGTAAGTTTTCAACTCATTTCCATAAATAATTTGAACACAATTACTGAATTGCATAGTAAAAATACTAGTTTTGTAAGAACCTCCAGATTGTCTTCCATCATAGTTGTGCAACTTTGCATTCCCACAAAAAATGAGAGTTCCTGTTCCTCCACATTCTCATTAGCACGTGGTGTCAATGTTTTCTATTTTAGACAGTCTAACAGGTACGTAATAATGTCTCATGGTTGTGTCAATTTGCAATCCATTAGTAATATATGATGTTGAGCATCTTTTCATATGCTTACTTGTTATCTGTATATCTTCTTTGGTGAGGTGTCTATTCAGATATTTTACCCACTTTTTAATATCTGTTTTCTTATTATTGGGTTAAAACTCAAGGCTTCTTTGCATATTTTAGATAACAGTCGCTCATCAAATATATCTTTTGCAAATATTTTCTTTCAGTCTCTGACATGTTTTCTCATTCTCTTGACAGTATTTTTTGCAGAGCAGAAGTTTTTATTATTTAGTGATGAGGTTTAACTTATCAATGATTTCATTCATGGATTATGCCCCTGGTGTTGTATCTAAAAAGTAATCACCAAACCCAATCCAAAGTCATCTAGATTTTCTCCTATGTTATGTTCTGGGAGTTTCATAACTTTGCATTCACATTTAAGACTATAATCCATTTTGAGTTGATTTTCTGCAATGGGAGTAAAGTCTGTGTCTAGATTTTGTTTTGCATGTGGACATCCAGTTGTCCCAGCACCATTTAGGAAAAAAATTATCCTTTTTCCATTGAATTGTTTTTGCTTCTTTGTCAAAGATCAGTTGACTCAATTTGTATTATATTTCTTTCTTAACTCTCTGTTATAAATTTGATTTAAAATTGAATATGTTTACATTTCTTACTGATTTGCCAGTGTATAGGGGTGTGTGTGTGTGTGTGTGTGTGTGTATGTGTGTGTGTGTATGTGTGTGTGTGTGTGTATTCTGCATAATAGTTCTTTTTCAGGTCTTCATATGACAGATATCTCAATCTGTGGTTTCCCTTCTTATTTTCTTTATGTTACTTTTTGATGAACAGAAGTTACAAATATAATTAAGTCCAATTTGACAATATTCTTTATGTTAATGCATCTTGGTCCTGTTTAATGAATCTTTCCCTACTCCTTGTTCATAGAGAAATTTTTCTATGTTTACTTCTAGTTTATTGTTTCACCTTTTACATTATGATCTATGACCCATCTAGAATTAATTATTGCATATTGTGTGTATTGTGTGAAGTACCATTCTTTCACTTATTAAAACACTGATAACAATAAAGAAAACAACAAAGTGAAGAGACAGTCACAGAATGGAAGAAAATACTTGCAAGCCATACATCTGATAATACCCCAAATATATAAAGCACCCAAACAACTCAGTATCAAGAAAACAAATAACCCAATTAAAAAATGGACAAAGGATGTGAACAGATACCTTTTAAAGACAGAAATGGCTTAAGAGGTAAATAAATAAATAAATAAACAATGCTCAGCATCCATAATCATTAGGGAAATGCAAATTAAATCCACAAAGAGATATCACCTTACATCTGTTAAAAATACCTTTTATCAAAAAGATAAAAGATAAGCATTAGTGAGGATGAGGAGAAAAGGGGGAACCCTTGCAGGTTGTTGGTGGGAATGTAAATTAGTACAACCGCTGTGGGAAATGGTATGGAGGTTCCTCAAAAAATTAAAAATAGAACTACCATATGGTCTAGTCATCCCACTTCTGGGTATATATTCAAAGGAGTTGAAATCAATATGTTGAAGGGATACTTATACTGCCATACTCATTTCAGCATTATTCACAATGGCCAAGATATGGATCTGTTGTTGATCAAAGGTTACAAAGTTTCAGATAGAAGGAGGAATAATCTTTTAGATCTATTGCACTGTAGGGAGACTCTTTATCCATTGTCTTTACCCAACCAAGTGAGGAAGTTAAGAATTGAACTTAGGAAGTTCGTCTCCAAACTCTATGTTTAATTATTACTCTATAATTTCCTCTAATATTTCAATATAGATCTCTGGGGGTAGAATTCGAAACTGCTATGAAAACATGCTGCTAAGATCTCTAGCTGCAGGTAACAGAATTGAGTGATGGTCTTAGCTGATGCCCTTCTGATCAACTACCACATTCATGCCAATGACTGAATAAAGCGGGTCTATTATAGAGATAGAAACCTCCTCTAGTGGGTGTCTGGGCATGATGATGACCCTTTACCAGCCATTTTTCTACCATAGTCCTTTTTCTTTCTTTTCTTTCACAGATGTTAGACCAGTGTGATGGTCCAAAAGCTCTCTCCATCTCCTCTTTCTTCCTCCTTCAATAAACCTTTTGTGTATCTGGTTCCCTCTTGACTTCTCCTCAGCAAATCCAAACTAACACAGCTTTGAAAAAGTAACATATATTAATTCTCACCTAATAAAAATGTTAGAATGAAGGGATTATGAAGACAGGAGACTTTAGAAAGCTTCTAGGACTTTGGAGTTGGTGGGAGGCTAGTTTGAGTCTATGTCTCTTCTTGATAGGTGGTTTCTTTAGAGCTCATGCACATCTTTGACTTTCCATTGTCTTTAAGTTTGAAAATTCTTTTCTTAGAAGTCACTCTGGATTATGAAATTCTAGTGAGGCCTGTGTGAGACTACTCTTCAAACAAGACTTCGGTGAAAGAGAGAAGGAAACTGTGTTCTTTAATGCTATTTAGACCTGCTCACCTGGTAGCAGATGAGCACTGATAACCGGGCACATTTTCTCCTTTGCCATTCAGCTGAAGTGTCCTTATAGTATCTCTCAGGAAATTAAACACATAATGCAGTTTCAATAGAGAATCCTAAAACAGCAAATGGGCATTAGAAGAAATCTTAAATCAGTTGTCAAATCAATGTGCCTTTTCACCATCACCAAAAGTGAAACACCCATCAACAGTAAATATCATGAGAATATTCATGAGTGGACTTCTGTATAAACAGTATAAACAGGACAGATAGGTGTCATCTTTTTATACCTAAGGAAAACAGTATCATACATGGAAGTACCATAAGTGCTGAGGACCTCATCCATGGAATCAGGACTATACCGCTTCTTTTGCACTGATCTGTAAAGCCATAGAGGAAAGGGCCTAGAATTTGGAAAGCACATAAAACTATTTGAATCCTAGCTTCTTTATGCTGCGATGGGTGTCATTAACAAGATATTTACTTTTCTGGGACCCAATTTTTTCATTCGAAATATGGGAATAATAAAGTATACATTGCAGAATTATTGCAAGGAATAAAGGAAAATTATTTCTATTAGTTGATGCCAGGTAACTATGAATTTCCTCCCTCCCCCCACACCCATGTTATCTCCTTTTCTTG